AAAAAAATATTATGCAATTGCAATCGTTTCTAAAGTGGGCTTAAGGTTCACGATTTGACCTACTAATTACACAAGAGAATTTCTCAATAATTCTGAGAGGGTCAACGACAAACATGTAAACACCATAGACCTAAATTACCGTAGGTTACCTCAATAAATAATATTAAATTTAACTAACAATATAAAACAATTTTTTTAATGAACGAACGACATACAATTGCAACATACAACCTTCTTAAAATTAATTAAATATTAAACTACCATAATTGATCTGGTATTGATTTATATACAATTTATTGATTCCTTAATTTTTCACTCCATGAACTAACGATTTATTACTGAAAATTCCTACCTTTCAAAGCCTTTTTCTATTGTTCTTATTGAAAATAATTTACAAATTTTCAACCACCTCTGCTATTCATGGGGATATTTTGAATAATATTAATAACTTACGAATGCCCTGCAAAGAAAGTACTGAGGCTTTTCGATCAATTCTTTTCCTTTTTACAAAATAATTTTGACTGACACCCACAAGGAAAAGAAAAGGCCAGGATCACGCAATTACCTCCATATGTATAGATACACGGTGCGTATTAAAAAAGAAAGATCAGTAAAAGGCAAAGATTCAAAAAAAGGAGGATAATGAGATGAATAGGATCGAAAAGGACTAGCCGGAAATGTTCCTGAAATGGTGAAATTGAATCTTCCGGGTGGTGAATATTCAATAGAAGAATAAATTGTACGTTCGACAAGTAGGTTCTCTACCTCTACCTCTCATCATTGTGCCGAAGTTAATTGCACCAAATTGAGCTGTCGACAGCATTCTTGCTCGGATGAAAGACGAACCGTAGTCGTCGCCTGAACTCAATAAAAGAAGATTTTATTAAACATTAATTGAATTCCATTCGTGGAATTTCTACTGATCGCTTCTAGACGATATGACGAACGCAGCGGTGCCTTTTTCAGTTCGTATTATACCGACACCCCAACCTATACGCGCATATTTTACATGCTCAATAGCGCACTTACCAGACTAACCCAGTTTTTCCAAGGCTTTTTTTCGATTTTGCATGAAAATGTGTTTTCTGTTGACGTATTGAATTTTTATTAAAACCGAATCGCTCGAATATTAAAAAAGACAGTTTTATTTTTCCTTCTCTTCACAGTCTGCAGCTCAAAATATTTCTATTTATTATCATCATCATCATCATCATAAGGTCATCAGTCCTAAGACTGGTTGGACACGTACCTCCACTCTTTCCTATCCTGAGCTAAACTTCGCATTTCCCTAAAACTAGAACAGCCCACATCCTTAACTNTTATAAAAGATATTACTTTTTCTAATAATATATATTAAATATACCACTCACCGTCACTGCTCTGGCCAATCCTCGTCGTAAACAACACAACGTAAAACACTACAATGTTAGTTTAGAGGTACATCAATCAATGTTTTCTTATAGCACAGTTTTAGCTAGTTAGCTAATTAATAAAACAGAACAACGCACGCGACTCCAACATTCCGTTCTACTAAAGTTAACACGAACCGAAATAAAACTGCCGCAAAATACGTCGGAAAACACTCACGATCATCATATATTCGACGATGCACAAACGTATATCTAGCATTATAAAAAGCTTATCAGTTGTTTTGTTATCGAATACGATGTCGAACGAAATGCCACGCTTTAACCATTCGGTCGTGGCGGAGGTCGTTCTTCCTGTAACGAACGTATTACACAATAAATAACTCAACTGGTGAAAACAAAAGCTGCACAAGGATTACCAACATCGTGTATACAAATATTTTCCTACTATGATTATTGACATTTTAGGTTAGAAATTTGTTTATTGCAATTAACAAATGAAAATTAGATAAACTCCATTGAAGTTAATTATAAATATTTAATCACTTACTTTACTTGTACCTAATTATACAACTCTAACGCCTTCTAATTATTTGGGAAAAACTGATTTTCCGGTCGCTATTTCTCCTTACATCTATAATCCCTATGCAGTAAATGAATCAATAGGAGTCTAACGTACAAAAAATAAAAACAAAAGTTAATTAAAAAAACCTTAAGAATTATTTTTAACTGCTGATATTAACAAACTTAAACTAAAGCATTATTGACTTACATTTTATTGTAAAATTAGTCAAATATAAATACAGCAAACACTTTTGTAACTACAAAAAAAAAGATTAATGATTTTAATGCAGCACATGAATATTTTTTTTCAAACCTTACACTTACTTATTAAAACAAATGCATTATTAAAATTGTCTTCGTAATGGATTAGCATGGAGTATTTAGAAGTAATAACTACATAGGAAAAATAAAACCACTTTAACCGCTGCACCGACTAAACCACTTGAATTTGAATAAATTAAAAAAATATTATGCAATTGCAATCGTTTCTAAAGTGGGCTTAAGGTTCACGATTTGACCTACTAATTACACAAGAGAATTTCTCAATAACTTTGAGAGGGTCAACGACAAACATGTAAACACCATAGACCTAAATTACCGTAGGTTACCTCAATAAATAATATTAAATTTAACTAACAATATAAAACAATTTTTTTAATGAACGAACGACATACAATTGCAACATACAACCTTCTTAAAATT